TCCAAGGTGTCTTCAACCTTGCCCAGGCCCGAGGCAAGACGGTAATGGACGTTGACTACGTCATGCGTCGTAATGCGGTCGACTTTGGCGTGCCGCTGTTTATGGAGCCCCAGGTAAGCCCCCCCCCCCCTTTCCCCGTCTGTGTGCCACAATTCCCTTCTTTTCAGTTGATTTTTAACCACGATGCCTTATAGACGGCTATTCTCTTTGCTCAATGCATGAGCGAGAAGCTGCCCCGCCCAGAGGGCATTCCATCCGAGGTTCGCAGGTGGTCCGACTTCATCGGTGGCAAGCCCTTGTAGACACGGCGTCATATGACTTGGGAGGAAAGATAAAAGAAAACAAAAGTTTAAATTGGCGTTAGAAGGGAATTTTGTATTGGGCGGGACGGGGTTTTCTGATTTTGATTGTTCATGTTCTCGTTGTGATTGGCATTCATTCTACAAATGTAAAGCGATGTCTGTCATATAAAAGTTTGGCGAGGCGAATCATACTTTATGGGAAAGGAACTTAAACAGATCAAATGTTCTCTTGAGAATGCACCCAAACATGCTGCATTCGCGGCCTATTGCGATGGCTCATCCGGTCCTACACCAAGTGTAAGGAGGAATCAAAGAAGTAGTCCTCCTAAGCTTTTTATGTGCACAAGTTTACGAAGCCAGTCTGGCGCCCCACCACCCCATTCAACCAGGCCGCCCTTCCATTCAGTCATACATACCATGTGCTGTCTATAGTAGACCTAACGCACCCGAAACGCCGACTCCTTGAAATTGCCATGATGCATTTTTGTCCTCTATTGTAAACCCCCTTTTGAAACCCCCATCCTCATTGAGTTTTGTCCGCTGAACCCCTATTCAGACGGACTGTGGGACAGACTGCGTGGGGGTTTCTCCTCGGAGGGGCGTGATGGGCGATCGTTCAGCCTGACAGCAGCAAAACGCTTAGCAAGGGGTTCATCGGGGTCGACTGAGTGTAGAAATCTGGAAGGCGCAGCAGCACTACTACCGCGGGCGGACGAGGCGGGAGTCCCCGTCTCGCCGGTTGCGCCGCTCCGGGATCGGGGCCGTTTAGGAATTCTCTCACCAGTTGATTGCAGGATAACGTAAAGTGTCTGCCATCCTGGCGTTGACCGAAGCTGAAACGACTCGGCGAGATCGTGCTGAGTCGCTACCCGGCAGAGAAGTGCCTCTTCATCCTGCGCATGGTCAATACGGGCACAATAACGGAAGAGAGTTTCTACATACCTTGGACAAGACACCCATCTGGTGGATGAAGCAGAGAAGGTGGAAATTGGAGACATCTAGCGTCTCAGTTTTCTGATTCACCTTGAGCACCTTGGCCACAGCTGAATGCTCCTGGGACTCGCCCAGATACTCCCTGTTTTCGATGGGGAAGCCCTCAACCTTGAAGAGCGGCTTCTCTGCTTCGGGGAAGCCGTGGGTGAGGGTGACAAAGAGGTATTCAACAGGAAAGGACGGCTTTGCGTTTTCTTGCACGTTTGCGCCGTACTCGTTGATCCTGCGGTAAAATACCTCGGGGATGTACCGTGTCTTGCTCAGTGAGCCGTCATCCTCCTCCTCGTCGCGAACAAGCATCACGGTAGGGTCGGCCGAGGGTTCGATGATATCTGATCGAACCATCTCAACGGCGTCGTTGGACATCTGATAGGACGAAACCGAAATCTCACCGTCCTCGTTCCCCGATACAACGCATGTCACAAAGTTGGAGCCAAATCTACCAGTATCGCTCCACTTGGTGGCCTTTGGGTGCTGAGCCTGGAGCCGGGCTGCGAATGTGATTTCCTGTGAGGCGAGGAAGTAGGAATCTGCGTGTCGCTTGCATACGACGCTACCGTCCCCTTTCCCGCTGTCTATTAGGTCTGTCCAGATAATTCCCACCTGCTCGAGGCCGCAGAACTTGGCCACCTGGCTGACATCCTTTTCATTTTCCCACGCATCGAGAGTGATGCCGTCGGGCTCATCGATCTGAGGTGGCTCGTAAATGGCTTCCACGACCGCCTTGATTCCTAGAGGAACGACATCGTACTCGAGGTATCTGCCGTAGAGAAATCCGATCCGTTGGGATCCGGTGCGCCGCCAAGAATCGAGGAACTTGTCCATGATCTTTGCCGAAGCAAACTCGACGTGATCTACCATACGGAATGTCTGAGGCTGCAGAATGATGGCACTAGGCTGGCACTTTGTGCAAATTCCCTCAGGCCACGGATTGTGACCTCCTGAGCAATCACGTTTGACTCGGTAGTAGGGCTCGACGAGCGGGGGGATGAAGGAGGCGCCTAACTCAGGCTTATTTGTGGCTGAGTTGATCTTGCGGAGATACGAATGCATCGACATGTACTTGATCTTCTTGTCCTCGAGATACTTGGGGTTGAAGGGATCCAAAGGCATGCAGTAGTCGCACATTCCCTTGGGCCCGTGGCGGCACATCTTGACATCCATTGTTCTCGGAATCTTGCCGTTTTGCTTGTCCAGGCGTTCGTCCAAGGCGGATTGCTTGACTGATTCCCACGGGTTCTTGATCCTTTCCGAGGGTGAGGTTACTGGAGGCGGGTCGATAGGGTAGTCCTCGGTCGGCAGGATCGGCTTTCCGTTCAGGCGGTTTGTCGATGTCACGACCTGGGGCTTGGGTTCATCATCGCCATTTGTGGCTGTATCCTGATGCTGGTATGTAATAAATATCAAGTCGCCATGGCTGAGGTTCGGTGGTCAGCTTCGTCTTTCACAAGCATTGGTATCTTGGTGGCCAGCAGTTCTCTTTCTCTTACCTTAGTCCTATCTGGCCAATCTTGAACTTGGCAATCTCTCCAATGCGCTTAGAGTCACCACCGTTGGGGTGGTTCGAGAGTCTGATGGTTCGGGGGTCGACTGTTGGAGGGAGCTTGGGCAGGAGCTGGACGACAGGTCAGTTCGATGCCAACACAGGTCTGGCGTGGGGCTGGGGAGCAGTAAGAGAGTATCGAACCTGTCGGCCAAGGTCACCAAACGTGTCGTCCTTTTCAAGGGTCAGGCGAAACATGCCATCGGGCGCGCGCAGTCTGAGAAGCATGGTGAAGGTGGTCGTGTGAGCCCCGCACCCGCAGAGTCGAGGTCACGGAAGCTTCTGTTTCGTCTCTAAAAAGGCGACTGGGGACAGTTTTTTGGGGCAGGAAATAAAGGTGGCCAGCGAGTCCAAGGGCAAGGTGGAGGGAATCGCTTGTTCTTGGAGAGGATGTATTCAGAGCTTTGCTCTTGCCTCTTCCTTGACAAATGCGCCCAAGGCCGCAGGCAGCTGGCAGCTAGAGGGGGGAGCTTGACAGTGTGGGCCCAAGTTCGTCATTCAGTCGTGCCTGGGCACGGGCCAGTCTCAATTGCCCCTCGCCCCATAAGTTCGGAGAGATCTCGGTCCGGGGTACGTACCAGGATGGCAAGATAGATGGAACCTAGGCATTTTAGGGAAAGATGGCGAAAGGTACGTACCGGGCACCTCTTGTGCCTGAAGCCATACAACCCTTGCAGAAGCGCAGAAGCCACCTCACCCCTGCACCACAGGCAACCCTGGAGGACAAAGACGACCGAAATCTAAGTTGTCAAGCAAGCTGTTCTTTCGGGACGAGTCTAAGCTGTTAGGACCATTTACCACCTACACCACAACCAGCACTGAACATCCAACGAGCCACGTTCTTCTTTTGTGCATTCCGCCAAAGACTATTGCGACGACTTCACTTTCCGGTCTCTCCTGCGCCCATTTTATATTTTCTCAAACTGTTGCCGAGCTGCACACCAGCGTCATGTTTGACATCGACTGGCGGGGCCTAATCGTCCCCTTGGCCTACGTGGTCGTTCTGGGCGGCACTTTTATGACTTTCTCTACCATCTACCGCAAGAGGAAAGCTAGTATGTTCTCTGAAGCTTGCACCGCCTCTCGTGGATATTTTAGGGGCTAATTAATGTTCTACTCTCCAGCGCAAAGCGCAAATCTCGCGCCATGGTTTGGCCCGCATCTCCAGCGAAACATCTACCTGTCGCTCCTCCACATGGATCCCGAATCTGGGTCGGAGAAGTCCCCCAAGGTCCCCGATAGCGTCATCAGGGCCGCTCTACTGCGGCGCGCCGTCGAAGACATTCACCGCATAATCCAGGTCCGCACAGCGAAGGCATCTTGTAGCTCGCTCCTGCAACGGGGAAGCGTTGGTGACGACCTTTGGCAACGATTTCAGCGCGCCGAGAAAGAGATGGAGGAGGAGCTTCGGGATGTCGTGATGGAGGTACGCTGTCAAATTGTTCCCTCGCCGACCTGGCGCGCAAATCTAACCTATTCTGCTAGGCCAATGCTCTCGCACCAAACTGGGGCCAGATTATCTTCCAGTCTGCGAACGAGATTGCCGCCAACACAGTCCTCCGGGAGCGCCTCGATGAAATCCAAGCACAAACAGAGCAGGAAAAGCAATGGTGGGAGAAGCGCCGCACCAGCATCCAGGCTGACTTCATGAAGGAGCTCGAGGATGAGTCAGAGAAGTCGCAGGCCAAAGTTGCGAGTGAGGACGAGCCTGTCCTTGTTGACACCAACACGCCATCAGCGACACCTTCGGGGGGTTCCAAGAAGAAGAAGGGCAAGAAATAGAGCAAAAGGTTGGTTTATTGGGATCGGTACATCGTAGTAGGCGTCTATTCTTGTTCGATGTATAGTAGAAAGAGCTGGATGTGCTTGGGCCTTATCTTGCATCTGCGCATGGCGTTTGGGGTTGGTACTAGTACCGTGAAAATTTTGGGTTCCTTGTTTATCACGTTCAGTATATCTTCAGGCACCAGGGGGCAAGGGGTGCGTGGGGAGAAGTTCTGGCCTAGGGGCTGCCCTGGAGGGGCGCCTGTGCTGTATCAGCGAGGATGAATGTCATACTAATGCTTTATCCTTCACCCACGTTGCCACGACCCACCCAAGGTAGCAAGGTTCGCTCCGCTTCTCGAATCATAATTTGCACTGGCGTATTCAACAATCCAACAGCCCGATTAGCTCAGCTGGTTAGAGCGTCGTACCAATACTCCTGGAATAATAAGTAAATGCGAAGGTCAACAGCCCAATCCTGTTATTGGGCATCCCTATGATGCATGTGGCCCACTAACATGCTGATACCGATTCCCTTTTCGGCCTTCTCCTCCTAATGCGGGAGTAAACAAAGACAGCACCGGGACGACGGAAAGGTGTTGAAGGGCTGTCTTTTTGCGTAGCCAGACGCCAGACGCACAGATGAAGGCGCCTTGGTTATTCGGGTCCACATAAATAGACAACCCGAGGTAAGAAAGCACTGGCAGACATCCAAATTTCCTACCTAGGCTGGGTAATGGCAACCTCAATGGACGCCACTCCTCCTGAAATACCACAATCCAGGCCTGAGGCCCAGAAGCTGCGAGTATACCCCCCCCCCCCCTTGAGCGTTAGATTCCTCATCTTCTCTCAAACTTCACAAAACAAAAAGCCAAAAGTAGACAGGGTAGGTGAGGCAGGGCGTAAGTGTTATCGAGAGTGTTCATATTATATTCAATGTGTTACCCGAATTTAGGGCATCTAGCAAATCCCAGACAAAACGCTCGCATTCGTAACCAAATCCAACCGCAATACAGGGTGGGCTCAGTACCACCTCATCTTCCTCTTGACCTCCTCCTCTTCCTCCTCCGCCGCCCTCCTCCTCCTCGCCTCCTCCTCTAGCTCCGCCTCACTCCGCATCCTCTCGAGCACGCTGCCCATGCCGGGCAGGACAACGGCCACGGGCGTCTCGCACCCACGCAGCCCGATGAACTTGCCAATCCTGCGCCGCTTCTCGTCGAGCGTTAGCCCCACGTGCCACGACACGGGGCACGGGTACTGCACGGTCCAGCAGCTGGGCGTGCGCTGGTGGTAGAAGGACGCCAGCGCGTCGAGCTGCTCGTTGGTGAGCAGCCAGAAGGCGAGGAGCGTCGGCGGGAACCATGGGTGCACGGCGCCCGTGGTCAGCTGCACTAGCGGCGCCAGGGGCAGCGCCATCTGCCGCAGCTTGCTCTCGAAGGCTGGGTTGGCGGCGGCGCGCCGGCTGCCGAAGGTGCTGCCTGTGGGGTGGTTGTTTTGGGTTGGGGAGGGGATTTCCATATTTTCTTTAATTTTTTTTTTTTGGCTTGGTTCCTATCTAGGGAAAGGGCCCTCTGTTTCGTGGCGGGTGGTGTCTTTGTCGCTTGGCGATGTAAAGGGGGTGATGTATCGCGGTTCTGGGGGTTAAGTGACGACAGATAGGTAAATATGTGGTAATCAAGGATTCTGTGAATCAAAGAGTACTCCCGTAAAAGAAGGGGCTGCAGATGTTTGAGAGGCAGTATATGAGCGGAATGAAGATGTAAGAAACCAGGTAGGCAATGAAAGAGGGTTACTTAGGCCTGGGGCACTCTGGTATCAAGTTTGCTCGCTGCCAGCAGCAAATGAGTCTTTGGCTTGAGATGGCTCTGGTTTAGTCCTGGGAGGTGAAATACCACTGATGGGGAGACAAGGGCAGGTCGAGCGGCAGCCTGGGGGGCTCCTCGTGTTCTTGTAACAGCTGTCCGAGGGCGTCGCTTTTCTTTGAGGACCGACGCCTCTCTTTTGGGTCGAAAACTGTCCTTCATATTTCTTTGTTCTCATTACTATTCTAGGACGACAGCGGATTTGCCAATTTGAGCTCGAGTGCCGTCTTCCTTTGTTTTCGGCCGAGACAATTCAACAATCCAAGACATTGTTCGGTGCCTCTGGTATTTTGAGCACGCGAAAAGGCTGATTCCGGGAGGACCACAACCGGGTGACAATGCCCATTCATCCAAATACCAACAGCCAGACATGCCTCCCGTTCTTGGTTAGATCCATTTCAGCTTGGCAATGTGATCCGCCTTCTTTTTGCTTTGCTTGACAAAGCCCATGGCTCTCAACTCGCCCAGGCCGCGGTAGAAATGCACCAGGGCCGTCCTCTCGTCCATCCCAATGTCGGACTCGTCGCTGACAAGGGCGTAGTATGCCGACCATAGATCTGCTACGTTGATCAGGGCGCCAGCTTCCAAATACAGGTGGTACAAGACGGCCGTCGTTGGCATCGTCGCTGTGACGGTGCCGTTTGCTTTGCTGCAGCACGCACAGCCGAGATAGTCGTTTGGTCGAGATAGTGCCCGGCTTAGGGTTGTCCCCGGGCGAGGAACAAAGACATCCCGATAGGGCGATTTGGAGTCGTAAACCCAGGCTTCGTGGAGGAAACGACTCGTCACTGGTTCGCAGTTAACGCTTCGTGAAAAGAGGTCGGCGAGCCTGTCGATGGCTTCGGTAAATTCCCTATCTTCATCGGTGAGCGTGGCCGTGTCGCGGCTGAGCTGCACCTTCTGAGCCACCACGGTGGTCCGGAGAACCCTACTCTGGGCACTGTATTTGCTCTTTAGTGTCTTGCGACTGTCCTTTGCGCGTTCCACCAATGCCTCGACCTCGTCTCGAATCTCAGCCAACGAGGCCACAAGCTCGTCCGCATCAGGCCCCCATCCTTGGAGGTCTAATTCCGGACTGCCAATCTCAATGGCGTTCAACAGGTGGTGGATCAACGAGACAATTTCGTTGGGCCCGAGTCGCCGCAGCGGGTCAAGAACAGACGCCTTTTCAGAGGTCAAGTCTATCCCTTCACTCAGGGCTGTGACGTAGAGATCCGTAAAAGGGGTAGATATGAGGCCGGTAGCTGCTATAAGATGCAGGGATCGCAGCAACTGTACCAAATAGTCTCTTCTCTTCTGGTTCTGCTCCAGTATTTGCTCGGCGAGATAGTCATCGTCGTCGAGCAGAGACTGGGCGTGGCTTAGCTGCCTCGCCTCGACAGAAGCCTCGACATGAGTCTTGAACGACTCGAGCGAGCGCACAGCCTCGATATGCTCGGGCTGCAGAAGCTCACGGTTGATGTGGGCATCATCGGCAAGGAGAACGCTCAATGGGTTTGCATAGAGATGACACATGTATGCGTACTGGAGCAGGCTGTCAGCGATGGGCCCTTGGGCGATACTCAGCATGCCGTAAAACCAGTTGGAAAACATACCTTCAGCGAGCTAATAAAAACTTGTATACCGGCTACCTGGTCTTGCTGGCGCTCGACCAGGCTGCGCAGTAGTGATGGCCCTAGCCTCAGTAGTGCATGGCTCCCGGCGACGGCGCTCTTGAAGACACTATCAAGCACGGAGCCCGCCTGCACGACATCAAACTGGGCGCCAAAGAGATGGCGCGCAATCGACTTCAAGAGCCTTGCCTGGAATAACTCGACAGAGGTTGCGATGCCGAATAGCAACGAGAACTGGATGCGGTCGTGCCACGAGCTAAACGTGTCAGCTGCTTCTCGATATTGAGTGCCGGTGAGACATACTGAAAGAGGGCAATCAAGTCCGTCAGCAGGCCATTGTCAAAGGCCTCGCTGTCCTGGAATGCAACAATAACCCGGCCAGACTGCTGTAGCTTTAGAGAGACGTGTAGCGCCTCCAGGTCATAGTCGAGGTATTTGCGACCCTGCGACCATGATCAGCTCAAATCCCACCACAGAAACGGCAAGCAGCAAGACCTACATCCTGGCCGACCGAAACCTCGACATCGTCTCCCTCCTCATCGTCACCAGCCACCCTCACGGTAGCATCACGAATGATCTTCTTGAGGGCCGCCTTCAGATTTGGCGCCTCGGCCGACCGCAGCCGCACAAATCTCGTCTGACTTCCTTTGCAGAGAGTCTCAGCAAGCTGCTCAAACAGCAGGTCCTGCGAGGCGATGTTCGGCCCGGTGATGATGAATCCTGCTGGAATTTTGCCCCTGAACCACGCTTCACGTCAATCGACCACATCCTTCCCATTTCCGGAGAAAACTTACTTCTCTCCCTCGGCCGCGCGCAGAAAGGTGCTGACCTCGTCGAGGGTATTTCGATTGGCTTCCCTCAGGACATTCTAACCGCCCACCGCGCAGCTCAGCACACAGCCCCACCCACCAACCAACCAGCAAGCAGGGGACATAACGAACCTGTATCCGCCCCTCCAAGACAGGCCACGCCGTCTCAAACAGCTCCCCACGGAGTTTGACCGCACCGGGGCTCTCTTGCCCGTTAAACAGCGGCAGGAAGCCCACGTCGACGGGGCCGCTGGTCTGGTCCTCTGACCTGCCGTTCACCACCTCTTTCTTGGCCGATACTCGCCTCCTCTTCGCAGGGCGAGGGGCAGCACCGGCCGAGGGGACGGCAGCGGTGCCGTCACTAAGAGGGTTGGAAACGTATGCAGCCTTGAGTGAGAGTTAGCATCTTCCGACAAAATTTACATAAAAACGAGACAAGTACCCTGTGATCATCTTCTTGGAAGGTATGGTCGTCTATTTCTGCCATTGCGTCCGTGTATTTGTGTTGACCTTATCGATGGCTGCGCTTCACTTGGTGCAGTTGACTTTGCGGCTTGTGGCTGGGGGACGAGACCACGCGTGACAGCCGTTAAGATGCGCGCCCTATGCGCGCCTTGCTGCACGCGTTTGCAGGCCAAGGGATCGCTGGCCACTAACACCAGCCACTCATGCAAACCCTGCGCCACTTCCCTGACTAGCCCAAACAACACAAGGGAATGGCACGAACAGGGAACAGGGAACAGGGGCCAGACCTGCCAAAATAACCGATTTTCTGTTTGATTCATACTACCATAAACATATTGACCGTCAACTCCCAAAGCGAGGATCCCATGAGGATAGAGAGAGTACGTTCTCTTTTGTATCGGTAGACGAAAGCATCAACTCGCGGCCCACTTCGTTCCTAATCTTTTTTTTTTCCGCCATCATGTCTGTCCGTCACCTCGCGAGTCAAGCCGCCATCTACTGTCCGCTGTCCGCTGTCACCGGCCCGTCTCCCGATATCTTCATCGAGTGAGAGACTCAACCTCGCCTATAATCTCACATGCCCCCTTATTTTCCTGCAATCCCGCGGAGCACTTGCCCAGAGGGGTAGAACCTCGGGCCCCTTCGGCATCCCATCATTCATCTTGACCGCAAAAACACAACATGAAAAGTGCAAAATAAAGACCATTTCCTTCGCTGCTGTCGTCCCTCTTGCCAAAAGCCA